TATGCTAATAGCAATTGAGAAATGAAAGCACTTGAAAGAAATTGAGTAAAAGTACAAGCTTTGGAGAAAAACTCAGAACTTTGGTTGTCCGGAGTCTCCACAAATCAAGAAAAACGAAAATAAATGAAGAGAAACATGCGAGTATGGTCAAAGAATCTCACTCGGGTTGTCTCTCATAGGAAGATTATTCGGAGCTTCGTCTAAGTACTAGTTTTCCAAAGCACAAAAAAGGAAAATAAAATCCTAAACATATTAAACACGATTGAGGGGTTGATTTTAAGCTAATTGCAACTAAGAAACTAGAGCAATTGAAATAGAAATGCAAGCTTTAGAGAAAAGATCGGAACTTTGGTTGGCAGAAGTCTCCACAACTTAAGAAAAACGCAAATAAACAAAAAGGAAATATGCTAGCACTAAGTTCCTGGATAATTAACATGGGCTTTCTTAACTTAAATGATTAAGCTTAACCAAAGTCTCAACCTTTAATACAAGATAAATACATATTTAGCTCCTATAATCACTTAGCTAAACAATGAAAATAAAAAGATCCAAACTTTCCTCCATTCAACAAGCAAAACACCAGATTTACCTTGAAAAAACTTCACAACTAAAAACGAAACAAATACGGAGTAATGGAACTTAAAAGTAAGTATCCACTCTACTATTGCATGCTCGAAGAAAATCGGAGTGAAAAACTCGAAACTTTAATAAAAACAAAGTGGTCGAAAAATATGAGTAACAGAGATAAAGAGAAAATAAGAAAAGACTTATTCCCAAAGTGGGAAACAAGAAAATGAAAGCTTGGTTCCAAAATACAAAGGCACAAATGTATTTATACTCACACCTTAAACACACACTCAAAATACACACATTTAGTAGAAAACACTCGCGACGTGGCTAAATCACTCGCTAGCTCGCGAGTTCGCAAGGTCTGGCACTCGTGTGGTCGTGGGCTGGTCCGCTGGCACGCAACCTAGCTTGCTGGGCACGCGGGTTAGGAGCAGGTACACGGGGCGCGGGCGCGCGACACTCGCGAGCGGGCTGGAGGAGGCGTGAGGTCGCGAGCTGCAGGTAGGGCACTCGCGAGGTTGCTAGGGGAGTCATGAGGTAGCCAACTACAGGTAGGGCATTCGCAACCTGTACGAGTTTTTCGCGGGCACGGAGCGGAAACTTGCGGGCTACCAGGCACTCGCGAACCAGACGAGTTGATTTTCAAGGGTACGGACTTCTGGCGCGCGGTCTCCTCGTGCTGCCAGGCACTGGGCACTGCGGGGAGTGAGACCTAGGTCGTGCGCGGACGCTGTGCACGGGGGCGCTGGGGCCAACGGGTCTCCTCGGGTGCGAGTGCTTTTTTAGGCGAATTTCTGGCACTTCCCGATTCTCGACAACCTTCTGGAGTGCGATTTCCTACAAAAATAAAAGATAAAAGGAGAAATAAAAAGCACAAGACACTAAAACGACACGAAAACAAAAAAAAAAGAGCAAAAACGACTAAATGGACCGAGAAAAACCTAAAATAAACTAAAACGAAAATAAATAAAACACATAAAACACATAAAATAACAACAAAAACATACAAAATAACAGCCTAACTGAAGCCAAAACTCGAGCCACGAACCAATGCAGAAGCCAACCGGACCCCTGCCGAAGAAAAACCAACCTCACCCCCCACACCACCACTACTGTCTGTTGTTGTTCTTATTATACAAATTGAAAAGTTATTTAAAAGTTAAAACGTACTATTAGCTTACTGTTTGCGAAGAAATACACATTTTTTTTAATATGACTTTGATTTAGTAAAGTTATTTGCATTATTCTTCATTAATATATGGTGCATTTTTCATTAATGTATGGTGCTATTATGATATTGCTATTGTTACTAAAGTTATTTATATTCAAAACCTCATATTTACGTTTTTCATCATTAATGATTGAATAGAATACATGGCACATTAATCATTTATTTGTTTTATTATTTTTCATGATGGTGCATTGGATGATGCTATAAAGGAACAACCACCAATCATATGAGACCAAAGTCAGTTCCAAAAAAACATTGAGCCTGGTGGATCTTCAGCATATAACATGAAGCCCATAAAATATGTCATTTTTTTTAGATTTGAATGCATCTCTTGCTAAACAAAGTACAAAAGTAGTGCAGAGGAAAGGAATAAGAAAGAAGAAGAATTGATATTGTAAATTTGGTTGCTTTTGTTGGATACACTGCTATTTTTTCAGTGATCTGAACACAGATTAATTAGTTCTTGATTGTGTTATGGTTTGATGTTTATAAGATTGTTTTTTGGATCGAAACTGGGATTGGCTCAGGTTTGTTTATGTTTGGGATCTTAAATACTCAACTTTTGTGTTATGATTATGCCTATGGTTTGATGGTTTTATGATTATGGACATTGTTTGATGATTTGATGGTTATGGCTATGGTATGATGCTTTTATCTGGTTATAATTATGGTATGATGGTTTTATTTGGTTGTAGCTATGGTTTGATGTGGTTATGGCATATGTTTTAAGTTCTTGTTTTTTAGCTTATGGCAGTTGTCATTGTTGTTATGGACTTGATATGAGATGTTGTACATTTTAGGCTAAGCATACATAGGATATGCAACCTAATTACTTTGTGTCTGGATGTTGTTGTTTTAGTACTATCTTAGGTTCTAATTTTTGGTTGGAAACCAATGACATCAAACACATGATAAGCATAGAAATTGATTCTTACAAGATAACTATTTTTTGGTTGAAAACAAATGCATGGAAAATAATATCATCAAATACAGATGTATTTTTTTTTTTAAAAAAACTTAAAAAACAACTGTTTGATAAATAGGGCTCAAATTTCTCTACATTGAACTTGCTTCAAACAACAATGTGGATCATTACACAAATCCTGAACATTTTAACAAAATAATTAAACACCAAGAAATCATCAAGTACATCTTCATTTTGCGCTCCTGATTTTTCAAAATCTGTACTTGTTTCATCAGAGTCTCCTTCTTTTCAAGATGATTCCGGATCACATATACAGTACTACGTCGAGGAATTGAGGGATCTTCTCAAGCAAAAAAACCGCAGCCTCCAAACTGAATTAGGGCAAGTATTGCGTTTCATACCAAAATATTTGTGAATTTTAAAAGAAAAAGAAAAAACATGAATCAATAGGGGCGAAGAATACCTCCCAATCTTCACACCCGTGGATAGAACCTTGCCTAGTCTCCTGTATCACCCTTGATCAGACGACGACTTGCAAGATCTGGAATGTGCGCCTACCCAGGTTGGCTTGAGTCCACGACATCCACAACTTCGCTTTCTTTCCACTCTGACAAAACAAAGAAATCTTCGGGCTACTGACCGACGAGGACATCTTGGCCTTCTAAGAGAAACATGACAATTAGGACTATGAAATTTTGAGAATTTGGGATGAAGAATTTGGGACTCCAGATTTGGCAAGAATTTTGCAACAATTTGAAACTCTCGATTTCTCATAATTAAGGCAAGAAATTATTAGCGAAATTAGGGCAAGATATATAGCCAAAATTCCCTCCAAAAATTAGTGACTGGCTGTGTGACATAAAAAAAAAATGAAAAAAAATTCCAACTCCCGGTCACAATGACCGGCTTTTTCCGATGTCAAGATGAAATATAATATTTTTTTTTTGCATTTACGGGATTTATAAATGCCCACTAAGTGAGCCTGACACGTGAGCCCAACTTTTAAGCCGACAAATGAAACCCAAATCCTATCCTGGCCCATGATAAGGCCTCTGAATTTTTCAACCTTTTTCTCTTAAAAATAATCAAATAAGAGCACATTTGATTTCTAAGATGGGATTGGACAAAATTAATTTTTGGTATAAGATTATACTGTTAGGATTAAAATAATAAATTGTTTGTTGTCCTTGATTTGTGTTGTTTCAAACTTTGGATAAAATAAATACGTACCTTTGGTTGGGCAGATAAAAAGGTAGATTAAAATCCAATTGACTAAAGTGCCCCTAAAGCCTTTTTAGCATTTATGAATTATTTTATTATTAATTGTTAGCATCTGTCAATTTTTCCTTAAGCCTGTTTAGCATCTGTCAATTTCCGTCTTTGTAGGTGAGAAGCCGGCGTAAATCATTCCTTCCTACTGCTTTGAGGATCATCAATAATCTCTCACAGTTGATGATGGGCTTCACGAGTGTAAGCACGATGACAATTCATCTCCTGTCAATTAAGTTTATTGACGACGATGCAACAATCACTTCTGCCCTATCAAATTCTAATTTAGAGATATTGTTTTATTATTGTTGAAGAAACATATTTTGTACTGCGAAATTCCGAAAAGAAAAAACCACAGATCAAAAAGAAAAAAAACACAGATCAAAAAGAAAAAACCACAGATCTGCAAACAAAAACGACAGATCTGCAAAAACCACAGAAGAAAAAAAAAACAAAAGAGAACGAAAACACATTATTTCGGATTGAAAGGACGACCAGACCTGTTCTCTCGAGATTTCGTCGATTGTTCGTGTTGAATGAGCAGGAGAGAGAGAGGTATACCTTTTTTGCAAACTTTTGAGGGCTAGTTGGTCATTTAATCACAACAGTACTGTGCAGATGATCTCAATCTCGGGGGGGAGGCCGAGATTATTTTGTCGCCAATACTCAAGATAAATGGGATTTTATCTCGGGCCTAAGATTAATATGCGGGCCCATATCATGTATACCAAATATAAGATAAGCCCAGATAAATGGGGCTATCTTATCTAATCCCCCAAACCAAATGTGCTCTAAGTTATACTTCAACTGTTCAACATATTACGCACTCTTTCACGCCGGGGAGCGACATCGGTTTCTGCTTCTTTCTTCTTCTTCTTCTTCGCAACGCTTAACCTCCCGCGTGTGTTGTTCCTGAATTTTTGCCGGCCTTCTCCTCGCTTATTCTCTCTACATATTTGTTGTATATCTTTCGCTTTTCCTCTTCCCCTCTCATTTTGTTTTTTCTTTTTCCGCCTTGTTTTCTGTTTGGGATCGGCCTTGACCTGTCTACCCTTGCCGCCGACCGCCGTGTGCCCGTCAGGACACCGTGAGTCTCGAATGAGCTCGGAAATCCCAAATTCGAGTTTTTCATATTTGATTTAGAGCTCAGTTTCTTTAAAATCTCGAGTTTCAAGGGCTAAAGTGCTGGATTATGCTCTGTAAATAACCGACTGTATCACTACACTTTGGGCTTAAGCTAATCTCTCATTTTTTTCTATTAATCTTCCTCACTTTTTGGGTCAATTTTTCCTTTTCAAATAGCTGGGAGAATATTATTTAACAAGTAGTAAATAAGGAACACGAGATTGAATCACAATCATGATTTCGTGTGTAGTTTTTTGTTGATTCAATGAGAAATCAAGTCCTTTGATGGCCGGCAATCCTCAGTCTCAGCATCGTTGCGTTTTTGGTAAGTAATTTTCTTGCTCCCGCACTGTATTGTTTGGAAACTCAATCTTATGCGAAGTCAGGCTATATTTCTTCTGTTTCTCTTGAGCTAGGGATTGAAAAATATGATTTTAACTAATCAATGTTGATATCTGTGTATTTTAGTTGGGAATATACCCTATGATGCTACTGAAGAACAACTTGTTCAAATATGCGAGGAGGTTGGTCCAGTCGTTTCCTTTAGGTGAGTTCTTCTTCTATCTTCTTTATGGTTTTCTTCCCCTATCAGAGTTCGGAGAACTATAGTTGTATTCAAGTATATAGGGCTGATTGAATATGCCAAATGGCTATCGTCTTTAGGCCAATCTACCAGAAATTGCATCCTGTAGGAGGACATTAAGTGTGTCCTTTTAATGCTCAACAGGCTCTACCTCTTACCCACATTTATATTTTCCTCACTGGTTTTTCTGATGTGCAGAAGGAAAGTAATAATTTTGATGCCAATATGATGTGATTTTGGCTGCATGATGCCAGAAATTCTTAAGTTAATTGGTTGAATTAAGTCATCAATATGTCATCATGTATCTGCAAGCCTGTAACAATAAGGATATTTGAAAACATTACTATGAGTATTCATGAATATAGGAAAGTAAGCAGCATCAGGTTCTTGCACGATAGTGCAATTTTTCAGTGTTTTGCAGATGTTTAAATTGTTTAAATCGGGTTAATAGATTCTTTAAGGTGATTGTATAGCAATTTTCTACTGAAACTATAACTAGACATTTACATTATGCATGGTAGCAGCAGATTCACAATTTTTTTTTCCAGCTAAAAGTCAGTTCTGTTCAGCACTTTTTGAGAGCAATGTGCATATTACTATTTCCAATTGATTTTCTGACATATTAGAACTTAGAAGAAAGGGTCAGTGACAGCTATATTTACAAACACCAACTTGTTACTTGGTTGTAAAACATATTAAGCGAACAATTTTTGACAAATAAATGGTTATTGAGATATTTCCTTGGATGTGAATCTTCTCTTTCAAATTATTATTGTTCGCTGTCTCAGATTAGTTATTGATAGAGATACTGGAAAACCAAAGGGTTATGGGTTTTGTGAGTACAAGGACGAAGAGACTGCTCTAAGTGCTCGTCGTAATCTTCAGGGCTATGAGATAAATGGTCGGCAGCTAAGGGTTGACTTTGCTGAGAATGACAAGAATGCTGACAGGAATCGTGAACAGGTAAATTGGTTACTAATCAAGAACATTATCATTCTTATTATTTAATGTGGGATATATCAATACAAATGTGTAATGTATCGAGAGACTGTTTTATCTCATCTAGACAAAGCTTGTTAATTGCCGAACTTGAACTTTTTGTCTTGATGATAGTTCCTTCTCTTGCAGGGTCGTGGTGGTCCTGGTATTCCCTCAAATGTTGGTAAGTGAAACATATGAAATTCTTTATTTGTATATGGAGAATTATTCCATTTATACAAGACTTTGCTGCAGATCCTTTAAAACAATTGGGCGGTCCAGCTGGACAATCCAGTCTTCACCAGCCAATGGGGGACTCAGTTGCTGTGGCTGCTGCAACTGTCATGGCAGGAGCTCTTGGGTCTGGTCAGGTTGCTAGCACACTCAATCAGATCGGACTTCAAAGTCGGCCCATGTTGGGAACTGATCCTCTGACTCATCATTTGGCCAAATTTTCAAGGAGTCAGCTGATAGAGGTTATGTCTGCATTAAAGGTTAGCAGATACCCAACACTTTTGACTCTATATGTAATTATATATAAAATTTCTATCATTGACGAATCTAAAATGGCTTTCGTCTATATCAAAACCTAAAGTTGCTACAACATATATGACAAATAATTTTTGGCAGTAATGGGCAGGTTACGAATTATATGAATATCGTTTTTGTGATGATCTTATCTCTCTTTGTTGTTTGTATGAAATTGGTAGGTAATGGCTATACAAAATAAAGAACAGGCACGGCAGCTCTTACATGCCACCCCAAACTTGCCTAATGCTCTTTTTCAGGTTCTTATCGGCCTCTCGTTATTGGAAACATATTGGCTTACTGCCATTATCTTTAGTAATTGAGTTATACATAACTACTAATATTATATTTTGTGGATGTGCTTACACTTTCCAATCTTAGAAGCCCACTTTTTCTCTTTTTGTTCCTCATTATGACCGCATTACGGATGGATTAACAACATTTTAACTGGATTTAAATGCAGGCCCAAATTATGCTTGGGATGGTGTCCCCACAAATGGTTCGTAATACATATCTATATTTAAGTTTCCATATTTTAGTTAAAGTTATTTAGTTAGGGTTAGAATAAGGCGATGGGCTGGGATTTTGCTTAGGAACCCTAATTTGTTTTATTTAAGTAGTGGAGTTGAGGTCTCTTAGGCATCAAGAAAAGAGAGGAGGAGCCTTTGGCATAGGCAGGAAAAATCCTGATCGGCATTCGCGCTTGGGGCAGGCTCGCTTGCAATTTTTTTGAGTTCTTCCTGTTTCTTTCATTTCAATTAATTATTAAATTATAGTTTTGGATTTCTTCTTGCAATTCGCCCTTCACTCTATCAGTTTGTCATGTTCATACAGACTTTTCTCATCCTTTGTAGCAATATTTTTTGCAATAAAGTTTGATTCTTCTACTATTGTGCAGTTGCAGATGCCCAATATTCGGCAAGCCTCTGCTCAACAAGTTCACCCTCTCATGCAAAGTGCTCAGACTCTTCCTGGACTTCCTCCACTTCCCCAAAACAAAGTGCAGTCAGATTTGCTGCCTTATGCCCAGGAAAATCGAGTGTTGACTGGTGTACCAAACCAGAAAGCTGCAATTCAGCAACTTTCTACGATACCTCAAATTCAACTTCCACAGTTAGTGCAGAACCAAGTCTTACAGCCACGTCCCAATTCAGCATATGATCACCCAATGCCTCAGAATGCAGGCCCTTCTCTCATTATAAATCCACGGTTGCCAGCTGCAGGCTTTCAGGTCTAAACTTTACTTGCAAGAGTTGAAATATTAAACCAAAAAAGAGAAAGAAACATAAAAATATGAAGATATATCTTTCTCTCTAGCGTTATAAATATCTATTCAATGTATTTTTCCTAGTTTTATTTATTTCTTATCGAGTCAAAGCAACTATGGCTCCATTGGACACTTAGACGACTAACAGCAATCATAAATTAGTGTTTGGAGATGGCAGCAACAACAACATACCCAGTATATTCCCAACAGGTTGGAGACTGGGGGGTCAGTTGTACGCAGACCTTACCCTTGTAATTATACAAGGAGGCTGTTTCCGTAGCGACCCAAGGTGCATTGCGCCGTTTGATATATATATATATATATATATTTTTTTTTTTTTCTAGAAACTTCACTAATAGAAGAAGCACTAGAATTTAATTGAGCCATTTTGATCTAGTCCATTATTAGCACTATGCCAGGAGAATTGTCAACAATAATTCTTCCAGCTCCATTTGCAATGGACATGTTTGGAGATGGTAGATTGAATCAAAATTGGTTAAATATTTGGTGATTGTAGTTGATTAAGGAATATAATTGGTTAATGAAAAATTACAAACTATTTACTAACTTATGTTCGGCTGCACTTTAGTCCTTCCATTTTTAGGGTTTCAATTTGGTAAATTAATAAACTTGTTGCAATTTTAGTTCAATATTCGTTGGGGGACCAATTTTATCAGAAATTAGGTGGATTTCTGATGTGGCACATGGATTTCACATTTTCCGGCAATTTAGAATGACATGGAAGTGAACACCCACAATCGAATACCCCAGCCTATGTAGTACACCAACAAAGTTCCATATCCAGCCTGCAGTACACCACCATTCTCAAACTCAGTGGCCTCCGTTCTCAGTTTTCCCATTTCTCAAACTAGTGTTTTGTCATAGGCTTTCAGCTTAGATCTATACCACTTAAGCTCGATAAGTGAAACGTGTCAGCAGTCAGAGGTCTGAAATGCGATGGATTGACAGTAATTCCTCCAATTTCATACATACATTGTGAAATTGGATATTTTATCCTAATTGTATAAAAACACTTGGTCTTCACTGTTTTTGTGGAATGATTTTTCTAGTCGATTGGATGACTGTATAAAGTTCTTTTTTTAAAAGAAAATATTGACGGGGTTTTGGGGAGAGGAGCGCCTCTGTGGCGCCTCCTTTCCGCCTTGGCGATGGGGCCATCTCAGGCAGTGCCAATGCTGATTTCACATCATATTTGCCGCCTCTTGCCTTGGCGTGCCATGGTCACACCATTTCGACATCGTAGAGTAAGTGGTAGAAAAGTGAAAGGGAGAAAAGCAGGGTAAAGAACAAAGAAAAGATTAGAAAAAATCAAGAGAATAATAAAAAATAGTGGCTGGTTCTTGTTGTTTTCATTTTTTGTTCTCTTTTTACTTTTCAAATTCCACAAGGATGTGGGTGGCTGCATCTTATCAAAAGCTACTGGAATGTGAAATTTTCAAATTCGGCTTGCCACATCAGCAATCTGGCCTAATTTCAAGGCAAAAATTGGTTCTCAAATAAAGATCGGACTTTAAGTGCAAAATTAAAACTTAATGTACCAAATTAAAAAGTCCAAAAAATGAAAGGACCAAGTGCAATTGAGCATATGTTGCTGGACAAAAATTGCACTTTTTTTTTTTCTTTTTCTCGTAAATGAATGCATATGCCACAAATAATTCTCCGATCGAAACTCTTGCTTCAGATGTTTACTTGAGTTGTATTTATTTATTAATTTTTTTACCTTCATTTTACTTTTACCTCTGGTAGCAGCCTAGCTCCTCATCACCTTCCACCATGCTGGAAAATATAGATTTGAAAGGACGTGGTTCAGTTGTCATTGGGCAGTCGAGAGTTGTGAGTGACACCATGGACCAAGTCAATAGAGCATCAAAATTGGTGAAATTGAATGGTTCACAAGCCCTACCATCTTCACAGGCAGTAAATGTAGTCGCACAATTCCCGACTTCCAATATACCAGGAAGACAAGCCCCAAGAGCAGAAGAGACTCTGAAATCTGACAAGCAGCAAGCTACACAGGTAGTTGATTTCCATAAAAGAATATTGTTTTCAAGTCACCTTTTTCAGGAATTGTGTTTCCTACTCTCATGCAAACAGCATAATTATTCAAGTAATTGGATCTCAATGGAAAGGACTTGTCTGAATGACGGTAAAATGGGCTAGCTGAGAATTTTTTCAGTTCGGTAAAAAAGTATTTTGAATGCAAAATATTTTTTAAGATCCAATATAAAAGATAACAACTTTGTGAATAAATGACTTATGCATCTGTGGTATGAAGCTATCTACTATACCGAGAAGGACAGATGTTACGCAAAATTTCTTTGAAATCAAGTCAACTTTGTAGTTAAGACTTTTGGTTTTTGGGATTAAGCCACCGCGTATTTATGTAATTTTTTTTCCATCCTTATTATTACTGAATTGTGAACAATTTTCTTCACTCTACAGCTACAAGTCCCTTCAGATGTCGATCGAGCCCTGCTTCAGCAAGTCCTGAGCCTAACTCAGGAGCAACTGAGTTCCCTGCCGCCTGATCAGCAGCAGCAACTGATCCAACTCCAGCAAATGCTTCGGCAGGCGACATAGTTTATGATTGTTTGGTGCGGACTATTTGTACTCCATATACAACATAAAAGTCACGTCATCCTTGTTCAATTTCTTTTTTAGAGGAAATTAAAAGGGCTATATCTTTAGGAGATTTGCATATTTTTTTAAAGTGAGTATGTCGGTCTTTATATGCATGCCTGCGGGTTGTATTCATGTAACATTAGGAGAAATACATAAAAAAGAAAGCGAGTTTTTGGTTTATGACTTTGTTCGACTGGCTTACAGTTTTTGTGTGGCATTTGATCGGAAATGCTGTGCTTGTTGAACTCCAATGATGTTTTTCGCGATTTTCTTTTTGTCTTTGGCATTGGTGGTATTTGACGCTGAAATTTGCTGCCCTCGGGTAGTTCGTATGAAATATCACGACTTTGTTTAGCAATTATGAATATATGTTATCATCCAAAGAAGCATAGATGCCGCAGAAGTTTATAATATTTATTAATCCATCTATATATATACTAGCGCGTAGCCCGTGCGATGCACGGGATGGTATATTTTCCTGAAATGTTTAACGTGTGAAATATTAAACATAATATAATTATATATATGTAACAAAAATAAATAGATTGCAAAGAAGGACAAAAAAATATAAATTATTGAACACTTTCTTTGTGAAGTAAAATTTGTGAAGTTTTGATATATTGATTATGAATAGAAAAGTATGAAATACTACCTGCTGACCGTTGAGATAGATGAGAAGATTTACTTAGAATATATAGAATAAATATTGAGATAATGATTTACCTTTTACCTAGTATATACAAAATAAATATTGACATGATGTGGGAAAATTATGACGAATTATGACATAAATTCGTTTAGAAGTTAGTAGAAAATATTCAAAAATTAGATTTATTTGTTATTTTTTAAATCCTTACAGTAATTCGTACGCTCCTTTTCATACGCTTAATTTATCAATTTTACACATACAAGTCAAAATTAATGCAACTCGAAATATTATATAACAAACAAAATGAAATTTTTTATCTAACATTTAGTATATTGCCGGAAAATCTTTTATAAATCTTATTCTCTTTTTATGCACATAGATATTAAAGAATGAGTAAAAAAATTATCTAAATATGTTTAAAAGTATCTAATATTATATGTGTTAACAATGTTACAACCAAAAGACATTAAGAATACGTAGACTATTATATAACATATGTGAAAGTATTAAAATATTTTATATTATTATTG